AGGCACTATGCATTACAGTTTAAAGAACTGTTCATGGCTGTTTTAACAAAGTTCAAACATTCTTTGTTTAGAACTAATTCAAATCAGTGTTCTAAAGATTCTGTTTTTCTATTTACAGTGTCTGAGCAACACACCTCCTCTTACAGAATACTTCCTCAATGATAAATACCAAGAAGAGCTGAATTTTGACAATCCTTTAGGAATGCGAGGTGAAATAGCAAAATCTTATGCAGAGCTTATCAAGCAAATGTGGTCAGGAAAATACAGCTATGTTACCCCAAGAGCATTTAAGGTCAGTAGAGAATTTAACCTGAATGTACATTGTCAGTTTTGGTTTTGTAGTTTAAGTATACAAAACTTACGGAAATATGCACAAATAAGAATTTGAAGTAATATTCATCAGTATGCAGTCCATTCATTAAACTGTTAAAACACTTGGATGTATATTTAAATAAGTGTCAGTTGTCCATGTGCTTTGGTCTTTGAGAATTAGTTTTGGCTTCCTGTCTCCATTGAAAAGCTTATCTTTTATAACTTCATTAATTTTTACATTTTCAACTTTCTGCTGTAGCATCTCGGAAGTATCTATTCTTTGTATAGTTAAGGTACCAGAAGTATTAGTATTCGTATTTTTTTTTTGTTTAGACACAAGTGGGACGATTTGCACCACAATTTTCTGGTTATCAGCAACAAGATTGTCAAGAGCTACTAGCTTTTCTCTTGGATGGATTACATGAGGATTTGAATCGGATTAGGAAAAAGCCTTACATTCAGTTAAAGGATGCAGATGGGAGACCAGACAAGGTGGTGATTTTGGTGTTGATCTTCTTCATTTTAGTTAGGGCTATGTATCGCAAGATGCTTCTGCATGATTGTGCACTGAAGGGTTGGGATGCTGATCATGTGTTGCTTTTTCTGGAATAGATTTCAGAAAATAAGACAAGACCTTAGAATGGAGGTCTTGTTCAAGTACTTGTATAAATTTCTGTTTATTTGAAAGATAACTGGGGCGGGGAGGGAAGGTATTAAGGCTTTGTTAAGACCATTTTGTTCAATTCAGTGCTGACTTCAGTTGGAAAAACAATTTCCATTCTGTTGTTCTTCTATTCTTGTATCTACAGTATACAGCGTTCTGCCTCTCTACAGTATTCTTACTTTAGAGAAACTCTTCTAGCATTGAGCTGCAAGCATATAAATAATTTCTTTTGTTATGAGAATGAGTTACTTCAGATGGAATTATTAGTTCTATTTGCTTTTGTCTTGCCCCAAGCCACTTGAAGTCATTCTCAGACTATGTAATAGCACTGACATAATCTCTGTTCTAGAAAAAGCACACATCTTTTAACCTGTGATCCTGATAGTAGTAACGTATCTCACAGGGTCCTCTGGAGTGAGATTCTATGTTTAGGTGGTAACTGAGAATGTTCTAACAAGTAGTCTTAACAATAATTCTCACTACTCATTTCCTACTACTTTGTCATAACCCAGATCGTGCTTTAATTACAGGTGGTTGCTGAAGAAGCCTGGGAAAACCATTTAAAAAGAAATGATTCCATCATTGTAGATATATTTCATGGCCTTTTTAAATCCACCCTAGTTTGTCCTGAATGTGCTAAGATATCTGTAACCTTTGATCCCTTTTGTTACTTGACACTTCCATTACCCATGAAAAAAGAACGCACTTTGGAAGTTTATTTAGTTAGAATGGATCCACTTGCAAAGCCTATGCAGGTAAGCCTCCTGGTTACATACAGAACTCCTGATTCATGTGGCATTAACAATGAACCTGAGTTCCTTTACATTTTTTAAGTACAGTAAGTAAATCAAACATGTTCTAGTTTCCTGGTGCATGTTCTGAAGTCCCACTTAGAAAGCCTGAGGAAGACTATACATACCTTCTTATATTTCTAGCAGTTTCAAGGAAGATGTTGGTCATTTCTTTATGGTTGTGTGAGTCAAAAGGCAAATACTGGGAATAAGTGGTGCAAAAACCCCCATGACTAAATATATTAAGTAGCCCTGAATTATTCTATGCTGTTGCTTAACAGTCAAAAGAAAAAATTTCGGATGAGATTTCTTTGTAAAGGGGATCTATTTTGCCATTTTTAGGAAGGATGGTATTACACACCTTAGAATGGCATGAAACAATGTACATAGGTTGTGGTAATAAAATAATTTTTAAATAGTTCTAGCTGTACCTATGGGTTAAGTGAGGATAGGTGAAATAAATAAGACACGGGCAGTTAGGCAGACTTGCAAAAAGGCTTTAACACCTGGAATCAGAGTACTATAAGAAAGAAAGTGGGGGAAAAGGGAGTGTTCTCAAAGGCAATATGAGTTAGGGAGGTCAGAGATAAAGGGACATGCATTAACTAGTGGGAGATGAGCCTGCTAGAAATTTAATTATTTGTGAGAACAGGTTTGCACAAGGGACACACCGTAGTTGAAGATGACCCTGTTTGACATGCGAGATGGTTATGCAGGAATGAATAGAGTTTGGGAAGAGTACTCATTCAGTAGAGCTTTTGTGAGTTTAAATAACTGTAAGACTAAAGGAGACACCAAACACATGCTGCTCTTGGCAATTAATTACAAAGTTATAATACCTTATTTCTAATTAATCCTGTGTTTATTTATTATGCAAATAACAGGTAAGAGTCCTGTGTGGCGTTTCATTACACACTGCAGGTGTACTGCACTAAGGGAAGCTACAGAGAGGTTTTCTTTTGCTGTTAATCGTCAGGTTCTCTCTCTGCATGTGAAATTTGAATTCAGTCTTTATCCATTGCCTGTCATTGCTTTTTTCCCCAGTAATACTTTGTAAACAACTTGTGTTGTATTCCAAATTTAAGAATCTAGTCAATAGCATACATACTATTTAAATGCTTAAATAAGTAGGTGCTGTTGAAATATAAATCTAAGTAATTGGTGCTGTTAGTCTTCTTATGGAGAGAGTAAAATAACATCCAAAAAAAGCATCCTGTAAGCTAATAAATGTAGTATTCAAAGTGCGCATGTTTGAGTAAAGTTGTGAATGCAACTACTATGTTTTCAGCAATTTGTGTTAGTTGATTTACATACTTTACACCTTAAGTTCAAGAATCTGAAAGACTTACATGAAGTATGCTGAACATGTGATAAGTTGTTTGGTTTTTTTCTCATGCATATTTGTTCGCTTAAGAAAGTAAAGTGACATTTTATTTTTTTTAGTACAAAGTAGTTGTTCCCAAAATTGGAAATATATTGGATCTTTGCACAGCATTATCAGCTTTGTCTGGTGTTGCTGCAGATAAGGTAAGAGTGATTTCTTATACAAAACACAACAATGAACATTGTAGCACATATTAACCTGATTTGCTGATGTATACTCCATTTTCTTTTTAGATGATTGTTACCGATATATACAATCACAGGTTCCACAGGATATTTGGCATGGATGAAAATCTAAGTAGCATTATGGAACGTGATGACATTTATGTGTAAGTACAGATAACATGCTTCGTGTCTCTGCAGTTTGTTTAGTTATTTGCAAAAGATTAAAACCTAGACATAAGATAAAGACAAATCTTGGGGGTTTTATTATTTTTTCATTTTTCCCCTTTGTAGCCTTCTAAATGACAGTTGTCCTTTATATTTCTGATTGTTTTTCTTTTAGATTTGAAATTGCTATCAATCGAACAGAAGATACAGAACAAGTTATAATTCCTGTTTGTTTAAGGGAAAAGTGCAGGCACACTAGCTACAGCCATAGTGGTTCTTCACTGTTTGGTCAACCTTTTCTCATAGCAGTGCCTAGAAACAATACTGAAGATAAACTGTATAACCTGCTGCTGCTAAGAATGTGGTAAGGTTATTGTTTAAAGAAAAACACATTTGTTATTCATAATGCTAATAGTTGGAATCAGTAGGCGCTTATTTTTACGGGCATTGCTAACAAATTGATTAGATTTGAGTACTTAGTCTTTTATTTGCTTTCTGTTAAATATATTAAATCTAAAATTTTAGCCACTTGAGATGTGAACTAGTGTGGATTTTAATTTTATTTTTTTTGTTAGCATGACCTCATCCAAAAATGATTTGAGAAGACAGTATGCAATCAATCAATCTGTATTGTCAGTTTAGGGGAATTAATTCTGCTATATACATAGCTATTTGTTAGGACTTGGTAAAATGGAAACTTTTTGCTAGTTATTCTGCTATGGTTATACCTCCTGTATCTACTATACAAGTTTATATACTAATTTATGTTTTCAAACTACATGGTAGGCACTTTCTGAAACTTGACTGGAATAAGTGTCATTATGTGGAAGGAATTAGAATCATATAACCTCCAATTTAAATTTGTGCTTCATTTTCTGTTGATGTAACTTTCTCTGAAAGTGAAGGCATGTATTTTTTTTATGAACAGTTGAAGAAGTGATTTCTGGACAAACAGAGACTAATACCAAGAATCAAGTTGATTAAAATCAAGTAACTGCCAAAAACATAAGACAATAGATGAGCAGAATTACAGATGTGCCTATACAGTAGACATGTTCGGCAATAAAACTGTTAATTCTGAATAAATCAGAAAGGAGTGCAGGAATACAGTACACTAGAAAGGGTTTGCTGTAACCATTTAATTATCTGGCTTGATCAATGTAAATATTTAAAAATCCATTGACTCTAATCATTGCTTTCATTTGTTATATTTAGCCGATATGTAAAAACATGTACTGAAAGTGAAGACACTGAAGGATCCCTACATTGCTGTAAGGACCATGGTATCAATGGTAATGGCCCAAACGGAATACATGAAGAAGGATCTCCAAGTAAGACTGGAATATCTGAACTTGTTCAGTATTTTGTGTTCAATTTGAAACTGAAGTTAATTCTGTAGCGTCTTTTGATTATTGTTATTCTACATTATTTCTTCCTCCTTATTCTTCTGATTGTTTCAGGTGAAATGGAAACAGATGAACAAGATGATGAATCCAGCCAGGATCAGGAACTCCCTTCAGAGAATGAAAACAGCCAGTCAGAAGACTCAGTTGGAGGTGACAATGACTCTGAAAATGGATTATGTACTGAGGATACTTGCAAAGGTCAACCACTCATGGGACACAAAAAGCGATTGTTTACATTCCAGTTCAATAATTTAGGCAATACTGACATAAATTACATCAAAGATGATGCCAGGCATATTAGATTTGATGATAGGCAACCTAGGCTTGACGGTAAGTCATGGGGAACAGGTTGGGCAACATTTGAATCTGATACTTTTTTCTCATTCCATTTCCATAGAATAGTGTTTACCTTCTCTCTGTGTGTTATTTGATATATCTTTTTTTTCCAACAGTAAATTCTGTATAAGTAATTTGTTATTATAATTAATTCTTAAAATGCAGAAATTGTGTGTGCTTCAATTTTTCATCTTAAATTCATGCTATCGTTGTTTGATTCATTTTGAAGAGTGTTTGCCCAAAGTTAATACAATTACATGTAAGTCAAGAAAAAAATATTAAGAGAAAACATGTTTTTAATCTTAGAAAGATCTTTCCTTGCTTTGGATTGGGATCCTGAATTGAAGAAGAGATATTTTGATGATAGAGCAGCAGAGGTAAGCTGTTTATGTTGCTCCCCTTTCCAGCATTAATAAAACTTAAATATGAAAACTGCAACTTAATGTGACATAAGAGAATGTAAGTCTTCGAAAGAAGCAGCTTGTATATCTTTTTTTTCACATTTTTCATAGTAAATATGTCATAAATAGACCTCATTTACACATCTAAGTAACTAGCAAATTCGAGGCTTACTACTTTGGAAGTAAGTCTGAAGCTGTGAAAACTTTTTACTTGAATGGTTTCTGATCATTTTTTCCATATATAGGAGCTTTGTAGTTACTGTTTATAGTAAGACGACATCACTAAAATGAGTTTTGTTTCATTTGTTCTCTTAACTCAAGAAATACTTCTCTTTAGGATTTTGAAAAACATGAAAGTGTGGAATATAAGCCTCCCAAAAAGCCTTTTGTGAAATTAAAAGACTGTATTGAGCTGTTCACAACAAAAGAAAAACTAGGTGCTGAAGACCCATGGTAAGGAGAAAAAATTAAAATTGTTATGTTCTATGGTGTATTTCTCAAAATGTAATCAAAACCACACTTGAACATTAACAGAGATACCTAATTAATTTCTTAATGGTATTTTGAATCTTGTCATTTCAAGTGTAGTTGAAAATTCTCAAAATGTTTTCTGTTTTGATCCATTGCTTAACTAAAATTGTTAACCATATAAAGAAGGTTATGTTTGTATGGGAGACAATTAATCATAAGATATTCTAGTCTGTGAACTGTGATCCACAGTGAATGAATAATATTGTGCCAAATCCAACACAGTGGTTTAAACAAATACTCCTTTCTGAGATGAGAAAGGTTGGTGCATACTGAAGGGGTTTTTTAATGCAAATACATAACTTGCCTTGCATTGATATATGAAATAGGGATGTGCTTAAGCAACAGGTTTTTGTGGGATGTCTGTAGTCAGCAGAACCTCTCAAATTCATGTTCCAACCATTAAGTTTTTGTTGGAGACTTTTATTCTGATGCATGGTTCTTCCAACTTATGATTTGGAATCTTATCTGAATACTCATATTTTTAGGATGTTCCTGTAAGATCATTCTTCTCCAGGAATTTTCTAGCAGATAAGAATCCTTCATCAACACCTGAGGCTCAGAATTAAGTTTGAAAAGAGGGTCTGCCACTTTTTCTTATGGATACTTAAAAGTTCTGGAGACTTGCAAACTTTGTCACCAGAGATCTTCCTGTATTTGGGCAGGGAAGGGGGCTGACTTATCCATTCTCTTTTTTTTTCTGGGTTGGCTAGTTTATCTAACACTGGATAGACTATTTGAGATACCGTGTAACTCAAATATGGTGAAGCGCTTCTGTTCTTGCAGCACATTTTAAGCAGAGTATTTAAACTACAAAATACAACTACTGCTCAAGTCAGGCAGTCGTTACTCGATACATCTCATCAGAGGTCATTAATTACATTCTTTCTTCATTTGTCAGGTCTTCACAGGTCTAATCTACGAGAGCTCATCATCTCTATTCCAGTGCTATTTGTATTCCAGACATTCTAAGCCAACTGAGAAAACATTTCTTCAGTTACAGCCTGCCCTTACAGTTCTAATTTCTTGTCTTTATCTGACGTTACTGTGTAAAGACACTTGTGCAGTCTTTTTTAATTAGGGCTCATCTCTTCCTTTTTTTTTTCCCCCTAGATCTTGTTAGAATTTTTAGATACCAAGATGTAGAATATGTGTAGACCACATCACAGAAGAGTTGCTTCCATGCATTGTTCTTACTTACCTTCCTCCCTGAGCCTCAGTTCTTGAAAGATTCGATTATGCATTGCAGGGAGCAGAAATTCATAAGTCACAGCCTGTTTATTACTTGCCTACTAAGGAGGCAAGGTTTTTTATTAAGAAGTTTTTTCAGGGTCCAGTAGTCACTGTTGCCTGGTTCTAGGGGTAGGTGAGGTGGAGTTAGGAGATGGATGAATTTGGAAATTGAAACTTGGAAGAATCACAGTTGTCTGTTATTTATGGCTTTTCATATAGTCAGTTTGCCCGAGGTATTTTCATAACCCTTTGTCTTTTTTTATAAAATATGAGAAAGCTGTGTTTTAACTGAAGGTACAGGGACTACTGTAGGAGACAAGAATCCTATACTGAGGGGTGCTACTTTTGTGTCTAAAATGCTGTCAAGCTTCACCGTGAGCAAGCTTGCACACTAGCACCTCACGTTTTAAACTGGAAGGGATATCAATGTCATTAGTAACAGAAGATGGGACATGTGTATGTGTTTCAGCTTCTGCTCATTCAGTTCTTCCCATGTTACTGACTTTCTCCATGGTAATATATTTTAACGTACATATGGACTGCAGTTATTTAAAATAGATCTTTTTTTTCTTTTAGGTATTGTCCAAACTGTAAAGAACATCAGCAAGCTACCAAGAAGTTAGACTTGTGGTCACTGCCCCCTGTACTGGTAGTTCATCTAAAGCGCTTTTCCTACAGCAGATACATGAGGGACAAGTTGGATACATTGGTTGACTTTCCAATAAAGTAAGAAACCTAAATGTTTTGGTGCTAGAAGAGTAAAAGTTAGCATGACTAGGGCACTTGTTTAATCCATCAATTATATAAAATGGTTTTGTTCTCAGCTTCCATGCGTGGATCCAGTAAATGCTGATGACAAAATGCTTGTAGGTGAAAAGTATGAACTCGGAAAAATAATAATAGTATTTAAGTATGGAAGGACTCTATCAACAGTTTCGGCTAGGATTACTAGTTCCTGTTCCACTCCTCACAGAGTGAAAGAGGTGCACTGCCAGTGTAGTCTGGTGTATGTGGGTTTTGTGGGGAATATAAAGTTAAGGGCTCAAAGACCACCAAGATGTGAAATGGTTAAAAATATTAACATGACCTTCTTTTGGTTGTTTTTTTGTGTGTGTGTGGTTTGTTGTTTTTGTTTGTTTTTTTTTTTTAAACAGTGACTTGGACATGTCAGAGTTCCTTATTAATCCCAATGCAGGGCCTTGCCGCTACAACTTGATTGCTGTCTCCAACCACTACGGAGGAATGGGAGGAGGGCATTGTAAGTTGATTTCCGATTTCATCGTTCTACATGTCAGCTTTCTTTCCATGTTTTATTTTGATTCAAGTACTGATCACTTTCAATCAATGGCATTTTTTTAATGGTCGAGGGACAATTTTTTTATTACTTTGAAATGTTTTCACAAGTATTCTAACACAAAAATCTATACGAAATGAGTTTTCAAGGATAATCGTAGGTTCTTTTATACTTCTAGCTATTCATATTGTGAAAAGAGAAAATCTAAAAGCTCCATCAGAGCTACTGTACTCTTAGACTGATTTTGTCTTGCTTGTCTGTATTTTTGTACATTGAAAGAAGACAGAAAAATGAAAAAGAGATTGAGTGATTTTATTTTGACTGTCCTTTCTCACTACACAGTCTCTTTAGAAGGGAAATGTTATTGGTTAAGCTTTCTTTGCTTAAAAAAAAATGCAACAGTGTGAGTCTAGTAGTGATAATAGGTTTTAGTTAGCTAAATGTCAAGTGTTTGACAGTAATGGACTCTGGTAACTGATTGTATTACACCTGTGAAGATACAAAGTCCTTAGACATTGTACTTTTTCGTCCTAGATACTGCTTTTGCAAAAAATAAGGATGATGGAAAATGGTACTACTTTGATGACAGTAGTGTGTCCACTGCATGTGAGGACCAAATAGTGGCAAGTACCTTTTGTGTTTCTAAAATGGGGACTGTTGAAGATGTTTTCTTCTCGAGGGAAGAAAAATGAAGAGTAAATCATGAACCTTGCAGTAAATTTGTAGGTGGTAGTTTGTGTTCTTTCAAAGGACAGTACAAAACAAAAATGGTTTGCTCCGACATGCAAAAATAACTTACATGAAAGCTTTGGATTTCTTTGTAATCCTACCTTGTAGACTTGGAAGAAAAAAAAAAAAAGATAACTTGGATTGTAAATGTTTTGTCTGGAGCCTCATGAGCATATTACACTTTTCTCTTTTACAGTCCAAAGCAGCATATGTGCTCTTCTACCAGAGACAGGACACGATCAGTGGAACTGGCTTTTTCCCTCTTGACCGGGAAACTAAACAAGGTGCTTCAGCTGCCACAGGCATCCCACTAGAAAGTGATGAAGACAGCAATGAAAATGATAATGATATAGAAAATGAAAATTGTATGCACACTAACTAATGGAAGAACTAGAAGCCATAAAAGAGACTTTCATACCGGGGATACCTATTGAAAGAGTGAAATTGCCCACCAAATTAAGAATAAAAATCTGAGATGGGGAATTTCAGATAACAGAATGTAAATCTTTATGACATTTTAACATGTGCAGTACTTGAAGTGAAACAATAAAAACTTAAACAGAAATTGTCTCTAATGCATTTACAGCCTTGTATTCACAAGCTATATATAGGAAATCACAAATAAACCCCTTTTAAGTTTTCTGCTGCTGTTCTGATGGATTATGTTTTCTTTTGTTTTGGATGTGAGTTAATAACTAAAATGTTAAATCTGTGGACTTCTGACATTTATTTTCATAGTACTGCAAGAATACTACTGCCAAGTCTAGTTTCAGGATGAATATATACATGTTCCTTAGGCTGTCACACAGGCTACAAGTAAAAATGTCATGAATATATGAGCAGTAGTTTTCTTGAAACAGCAAATTTTTCTTTCTCCCCAAATTTTTTTTTTTTTTTTAATTCGGTCACAATAGAAGAAATAGCTTGAAAAGGTGTTTTAACCTTTTGTGATATAGTTGAGCATCCAGAATATTATGTTCATCTTACTGCTGCTGTGGAACAGGTTCTGGATTTCATGCTGCATTAACAAAAAGTTTTTCAATTAAATGTAAGTATCCTTTGTTGCTTGTTGGAATCTACTCTGCAGACATAATTCCTGTTATCTTGCTTATAAGACATGCATAATTTTAATCTGGTGTCAGTCCAAAATTTAAAATTGTGCTGTAAGTTCTCTCTCCCCAGTTTTTGTAGTTTGACAGCTTCTAAACTACTCTGTAATAGGGTCAGAGTTAATAGTATTCTGTATCCATAGTAATGACTGTGTATCGGGCTTAGATGAGAATTTTTTCAACATAACCTGCCTTTAAATTGTTAATGAACAAAATGACTTTAAAGGTAGGCCTGTTAATTTTCTTCGTGTGTTCCTGATGGAATTCACCATAGCCTTACAGCGTATCTGAAAAGGTAACTCATTGTAAGAGAATTGGCATTTGCATGTTCAAGTCAGAACCTGTACAGTATATAAGGCATACAAACTTTGAATTGGATTTTAGTTAACTATGTTCAGGGGTCCAGGATGCCAAAATAAGTGTGACAGTTTGAAACATTTTTTAATTTGCTGCTTTCCCTTTGATCTAGTTGGAAGAATGTATTGTTGATTTGTATACAATACTGCCTTTGAGAGGGGCTCTTAAGTGCGGGGGCACACTTCACATATCTACTACCTGGAGAATTGCTTTGTGTCCCACTGTTTAAACAAATAATTTAAAAAAGAAAAAAGCAGAAAGTATGATGTTCTTCACTTGAACTAATCAAATACAATAGGTTATAAATTGTGTATTGTAAATAAAAGTTCACTCTGTGAGTGCACATTTTGGTAAATTATTTATTTATGTTAGCATTAAAAAGTTTAAAAAATTGCATTTGACCAGGATATAAATGAGGTATGTTGGACATGGCTTTGCTTTATACCTTGATATTAAAACTGGTGTTTCATCCTGGTATTTTACAGCTGCTTTGAGGTTTTTTTTTTTTTTAAATGTAAACTAACCTCCTGCATGACAGAGGTTAAAATTTTGTCTGCACTTGAGTTCACTTGGGTTTACATTTGAAATGCGCATGTTTATTTATACAGATTTCAATAAAGCTATTCAAGGCCTTATTTAGTGTTCCATTTTCTCACAAATTCTTTTCCCACCGTGTTTGTGTAATGGGTAGTCTTTGTCTAAGACCCGTATTATCAGTTACACAGTGGCTGTTTAATGACCAACACGGAATAAGATGAATAGTATTTCCAGGAGATAGGATATATAAAAGGGAGTCTCTCCTGTTATTGTCTGGCTCTAAAAACATTTATAAGGCTGCAAAAAAACCCCTTTATTTGTCATAAAAACCTATTATTTGGTTTTTTAAAGTAATACTGTAACAATAATCAAATGGGAAGATAGTAACTGAGGTGGCTGGTGAAATAAGGCAATATATTTAAGATTAGACAAACCGATACGGGGCGGGGGGGAATGATACAAGCTTTTGCCTTAAACCTTTGTATTGAGGTGTGGAATACAGTAACCCAAGACAAAGCTGTGTACTAAAGAGCTTGTGAGTTTAACTTGCCTATTTTAGTCAGAGCACTGGAGAGATGAGATTTATCTGTGGAGGAAGTCATCCTAGAGCAGCAATCACCGCTTTGAATAACGCACACCCAGAGCCCCCCCCTGCGTTCATGCTCCCATTGGTTTCCCCATACCGTGTTAGCCTAGAACTTGCTTGGAAAAATCACAAAGGGGCAAAGGATCTGGTTTGACTTACCAAAGTCATAGTTTCTAATACCATACCAAAGTTTCTAATTTTTTTTTTTTTTGTTATTGTTAATTTACCTTCCACAATTGCACACACTGAGTTTGTAAGCTTCCTAACCAGATACAAAAATCAATAATGTTTCTGTATGACTGTCTCAAAGGTTTCTGGGAATTCAGCCAAGTGGTGAGTTTCATAAAACTATTATGTATTCACGCATATGATATGATAATTCATCCCATGTGGGCATGCTTAAGACTACAGAAAACATATTCTTTACTGTGTCTATCAAAAGTTACTGTCACTCAAATGGTCATTTATGTAGAGAAGAAAGAGGGTCCTAACATCTTTCTGTGAATCAGGTCTGATAAAAATCTACAGTATGCTTTCTTTTTCCAGTTACATGGACAGCAAGCTTTTTGATGCCTATAAGTATCAGCATAAACCCCAAAATGAGAAGATGCAGTTAACCTTGTTAATGTGAGAGTCACAGAAACAAAGAAGAGTAGGAGGCAGAAGACAGCCTGCAATTCCCAGTTACTCCATGGATTTTGTGGCAGCAATACCTCATTTAAAGCCTGGCTGGGAGGGAAGGAGAGGTGAACAGGGACTGCCCAGGACCTCTTCTTTTCATTGGCTTTGGACAGTCTTCTGGATGCTTCCATGCAGATCACTTCCCCAATCTCTTCTATCATCCACTTTCCTACCTGCCTTCCCGGCACGCTGAAGGGAAGTTTGCAGCTTACAGTTAGAGATGACAGATGAGAAAAGCTGTCAGATATTAATTACCCTGCCAGGTGATGTAGAAACATCTCCTCCATCTACAGCTAGTTGCTAATGGGAAGGCCACAACCCCTTCCACCTTTCCCAGCAAGTTAGCGCTGCGTGAGGGAGTGCAGTGTATTTTTTTTAAGCATTTTGAAATCTTTAGAGAGAAGTCAGTGTGGCAGGCAAAGAAATTTAATTGGCAAACCCAGCAGTTTTCTTCAGAAATGATGCCTTCTTTGATGTCAGACCCTGTAATTTCAGGGTATGGTGTCTCATTGTTTCTAAGTACTAGTTACTTTGACAATCCCTATAAATGTAGTGAAACAATTAATATGAAAGCTGTATTTGATAGAATAAGCATGTTCTTAGTCTGCAGGCAAATTGCTCTCTTCATATTTTTTAGTTCTTTTTCCTTGGGGGGTAAACAAATTGTGAGAACAGTTCCACTTTCCTAGTTCCAACACTGCATGCTTTACTGGCACGGCGTGCTCCTGAGGCAGGAGCTTTTCTTACTGAAAAGAAATTAAGTCTTTGAATAGCATGGATACCCCAGAAAAGTCCAGATGTGACAAACCTTTGACCAATTATCCCATTAACTAGGGAATGAACTGAGTTACTATATGCCAGGTAGCTTTAACAGTCATCCCAGGCCAACTAATGCAAAAGCTGGTACAGGACTTGAGTGACAGGGGGTATCGGGGTGGAGAGAAACAATCAAAGAACTAAACAAGAAGGAAAATACCAGTCGGACAACCAGCAGAGGCAAGCGGTGGGTGCGATGTTAACTCCGGACTGGATGTCTTCCCTGGCATCCGGGAGGTGCAATGGCCCTTCCCCTGGCAGGATGGAGGCTTAGTCTGAGCCATCTGCCTCAGCTTTGAGATCTATGAATACCCTGTTCTTCTTAGAGGAATGTTCCTCCCTCTTCAGACATAATGGCACCACTTAGAAATCACTGAAAATTTTGAATGGAGGCCTGAATCTGTAGGTGTTTGCTCTGAGCTCAGCATAGTTTGAGGGAAGGCCTTCACAGAATCATAGAATCGTTTAGGTTGGAAAAGACCTTTAAGATCATCAAGTCCAACCGTTAACCTAACCCTGCCATCCCACCACTAAACCATGTCCCTAAGCACCTCATCTACCCGTCTTTTAAATACCTCCAGGGATGGGGACTCGACCACTTCCCTGGGCAGCCTGTTCCAATGCTTGACAACTCTTGTGCTGAAGAAATTTTTTCTAATGTCCAACATAAACCTGCCCTGGCGCAACTTTAGACCATTTCCCCTCATTCTATCGTCTGTTACCAGGAAGAAGAGGCCAACCCCCACCTGGCTACAGCCTCCTGTCAGGCGGTTGTAGAGGGCGATCAGGTCTCCCCTCAGCCTCCTCTGCTCCAGACTAAACAACCCC